TAGTGGAAAGTGGAAAGTATTGGGCTGATGCATAAGTTTGCAGTTGTGCATGGAATGCAGATATTGCACGATGGTCGGTCACAGTTCATCACAATTGCCAGGTCTTCGGTTGACTGATGGAATCATCGTGGATTAAAGTGTTTAAACCGTCTTTATCAAAGCCTGACGGTCTTCTTGAATGTGAAGAACCCCTCGGGTCAAAGTGGCATTCTTTGAAACAACAAAACCATTTTCTTGCTGTGTTTTCCCTGATAGCATTCTCCCTGTACATTGGCACAAATGTTTCAAGCCATCTCTGCTGTCTTTACTTCTCTGTTAAGCTCAAACAGAAGAATATGTCGGAAGTGTTCCTTTTTTTGCACTTGACATTCCATCTTCTTTAGCACACAAATAGCACTAACTTTATTCAAATCTGCAAAATGCAAGGCATATCCACAAGCACAATATTGTCACTCCAAATGACAAACAATAAACAAACTCCCAAACACTGCAGTGTTGCCATGCCAGAAATAAATGCTATGAACTTATGCATCAACCCAATATTGAAGTCCTAATCAGTACAATAAGAACAAAATCAAATTATTTAAAAGAGAAGAAAAAAATGGAAAAAAATTTATACATAGGAAATGAGAGTCATACAGATTAGAAAGGAAGAAATGAAGCTGTCCCTATTCATAAATGACACCACTGTCTATGTAGAAAATATCAGGAATCTACAAATCAACTCCTAGAATTAATAAATGAGCTTAGCAAACCATATAATAGAAGGTCAATAAACAATAATCAACATTGGCAATAAACAATTATAAACCAAAATTAAACAACAATATAATTTGCAGAATCTCCACAGAAAATGAAATACTTAAGAATAAATATAACAAAACATGTATAGGTTCTATATGTTGAAAAACTATGAAACGCTGAAGAAATCATCAAAGAGGACCTAAACAAAGACACTCCTTGCTCATGGATTGGAAGATTCAACTTAGTAAAGATGTCAGTTCCCTTCAAACTGATCTATAGATTTACCACAATTCTAATCAAAATCCCAGCAGAAGTTTTTGGAAGATATAGACAAGTTGATTCAAAAAATGTGTACGGAATGCAAAAGGAATTAGAATAGCCAAAAAAATTTGAAAAAAATAATAAATATGAAGAAATTCCATTATCTGATTTAAAGACTTTCTATCATGCCACCATCATCTAGACAATGGCAAAGAGATAGACCCATAGATTAATGCAACAGAACAGAGTTCAGAAACAGACCCCCACAAATACAGCCAATTGATTTTTGAAAAAGGTACAAAGGCAATTCAGTGAAAAAATACCTTTTTTTGGGAGGGTCAGAGTCTCACTCTGTCACCCAGGCTGGAGTGCAGTGGCATGCTCATGGCCACCCCAGCATCGACCTGCTGGGCTCAGGCGATCCTTCTGCCTCAGCCTTCCAAGTAGCCGAAACTACAGGCGTGCGCTAGCACGCCTGGCTAATTTTTATTTTATTGTAGAGACCAGGTCTCATCAAGTTTCCTGGGCTGGTCTCGAACCCGCAGGCTCAGGCAATTCAGTCGCCTCGGCCTCCCAAAGTGCTGGGATTAAAGGCTGAGCCACCAAGCCTGGCCGAAAAATACTCTTTTCAACAAGTAGTATTGGAACAGTTAGACATCTATATTAAACAACAACAACAAACCAAAATGGGCCTCAACACGAAACTTCATAACTTATTAAAAATCACCAAATGGGACATAGATCTCAATGAACAACGCAAAATATAACACTCTAAGAAGAAACACAGGAGAAGAACTTTATAACTTTTGGGTTTGGGTAAAGAGTTCTTAGATATGATACCAAATGCATGATCCCTAAAAAAATGTATAAATTGAAATCCATCAGAATTAAAAATGCATGCTCTGAAAATCAACTGTTAAGAGAATGAAAGAACTAGCCACAGATAGTGACAAAATATTTACAAACCACATGTGTGACAGTGGACTTGCATCTATAAGGGACTGCTGTGTGCCAGCACCTGACTACCCTGTGTGTTTCCATAGAGGCCACATAAGCAAGGCCTGAATGGCAGCTAATCTTGGCAGAATACTTTATGGGCCTCCTGGAGCATGAAAGGATGGGAGGCTCGTGAGGGGCAACTACAAGGTCATTTTTCACTGGCTTCTCCCTATACCAAAAAGGCTGTCGTGAGGCAGTTTGCCATCGTCTCATGGTTTCTGATGAGGTACGAATCTTTCTGCCTTGCCATCCTAAGGCACATCTGCAGCCAGAAAACATACAAGCATCATAGAATGGGCTCCTCAACCCCAGGGCACCCCGACATTCTTGTTGCAGTCATATGACCTCTTTTCTTTCAGTGTCACCCTGTGCAAAAACCACAGAGAGCTAGTACCTTTGGCTGCTCTTGTTTTCACTTTCCATGTAAGCAATGACTGAGTCTAAAGGGGGACTGGTGCTTTTTTACTAGCTGCATCTTGCAGGTGGCTTTGTCTTGTGTATGACTGTGTCCAGAATATATAAAGAACTTTGAAAACTCAATGTTAAGAAGACAAGCAACATAACTAAAAAATGGCCAAAAGATCTGAACGGACAGTGAAACGAAGAAAATATGTGGAAGGCAAATAAGTACATGATATGCTATTTTATGGGATTAGACATTAAAAAATTCAAATTAAAATCACAATGACATACCACTACATACCTATTAGAATGGCAAAAATTTTTAAAATGCTGGAGACACAAATTCTTACATTGCTGGTGGGGAGGTAAAATGGTACAGGTAATTGTTAAAATGTTAGAATTAAGAAAAACAAAAAAGACAATTTTACTATATGTATGTAGATCAAGAAAGGGCAAATATACTATATGTTAATTTTAAAAACTAGGGCCTGATTTGAAGAAACTAACTACAAAAAGCATTTTTATACAATCAAGGACATTTTAATGTTAGGTTTTTACAGTATGATAATGACCTTGTGGCTATGTTTTAAAAATCTTCTTCAGTTAAACACATATTGTAAAATATATGTGTCTGTTAAGTAGCATTAAGTCTGGAATTTGCCTTATACTATGTGAAAATAAAAGTTAGGGAGATTGAAAAATCTTGAAGCTGGAGGTTCATTATATTGTACTCTTTTTTTAGTGTGTTTGCAGTTTTCCATAACTTTTTCTTAAAAATGAGATTTAGAAAAATAGAGTAGAACTTCTTTTAAACACTTGTGTATAAAGCAGGTTTCAATCTCAATGTCAAATCTTTCCAATGACTCCAAATAAATAAATGCTGTGTGTGCCAAAAATAACACTGACATTAAAAAAAAAAAACCCCAGTATCCTAGAAATCTTATACTTTGAGCAATAAACTACTAAAATTACTAGATGGGTAAAGATTTGAAAATAGCAAATCAAAACAGTTTTCAATGACACCATAAAGGAAATAAAGGGCAAGAATAATTTTACAGCAATAATTATAGTCCTAAACTCTCAGTCAAAAAACAAAATTACTCAGGCTTTTACATTCTCATTAATATTTACACAGTGTTGCTTTCTTGCTGTGTTGGTCCAGCCTGTTCTTTTGAGCATTATTATTATTTATCGTTTTTTGAGCACTCAGCACTGCGTGAGATACAGATGATAAGTTCCCTCCCTAGGGGACAACAATCAAAGCCACACAAGCAAAACACAAAGATTAGCTGTTTAAGAAATGAAAACCAAATGAAAGATTGAGAAGTACACTCTGAATTTCCCTTTTTTCTTTGCCTTTAGCTTTAAGTCCATGACACAGAACATGCTTCTTTAAGAGGTGCAAAGCAAGACTAAAGTTGGTAAGATAAAGAAAACTTCCAGCTTAGAAGAGGTAGAAAACCTCTCAGAAATCATTGTAAGAAAATAGCCTATCTTAAAAATCTTTTCACTCTCTGTTACATAAAAATTACTAGAACAGTATTTTTAGCTCTAGAGGATTGTAATTGCTTTCCTTTCCTTCTCTCCCTCCCTCCCATGTGTGTTTGTGTGGGTGTTAGAGAGAGAGAGAGAGAGAGAGAGAGAGATTTAGTTCTGCCCAGCAGACTTTACTGTTTTTTTTTTTTTTTTTTTGATAATTACATGCTCTGTTTCAGAGACTGTTTCCCCAGTCTGCATATTCCTGATGGTACTGGTAATCATAGTGCATTTCTCTCCTGCCTTAGGATGACATTCAGCTGTAGGATAAAGGCCCAAAGCAGCTCAAGGTCATGTTTACAGGATTCATAATGAAGTTCTTCACAGTGTCCATTAGACCAATGTACAAAAAAAAAAAGAGCTAGAAATAAATAGATCTAGTGTACATGCTGGCAGTTCCAAGCTCCAGAGTCTGGCCCTTAGGACTCTGGTTCCTGTAGTTCTGCAGGCTGTGTGAGCTGCTCCACATTCCTCCTAAGTCAACACACTCAGGTTTTGCTAAGGATGGTTTGAGTTGGGTTTCCTTTGTTATGTGCACCTGAAAGAATTCTGAAATGTTGAACAACCTGCCCAAGGTTCTACCCTTCTAAAGGGTAGAATCATCATTCAAACCCAGATCTGCATCTACACAGTAAAATTTTCTTGCTGTGCTAATTTGCATTTTATCCTACAGGTGTTTTGTTCCTAGAATCTAGTTTTCTGGAAGATTGGGAATGGAAGAGAAAAGAGGCCATGGGGAGTGGTGATTCTGCCAAATCCTGTATCACTTCCTGGTAGTAGAAGGGAGGTGCAAATACAGTGATGTCAAATAAGAATGTGTCTTAACCCACATTGCATGGTATTTAATGCATATGAGAAAGAACCTAAGTTGGCAACCATACAAACTTCTGCCCAAAAGCAAAGCAAAGTTGTGTAATTCTAGGAAAAAATGGTAGCAGAATATTTTCTCTTCTCTCTCTCTATCCAATTGTAATGGTTGTATTAAAAAAAACAATGTTTAATACCAACAATGCCACATAAAATGTTTAAACTTTTGGAGTTGAACAAAAATACAACTATTTCCGTTTTAAAGCTACTTTATTCAGTGTCTCACCACTGTATACAAAGAAAAACAAGTTATAAATAAATGGCTTATTTTGTAATCGTTACTTTTAAGTCCCAAAGCTAATGTCATTTCCTCACTTTCCAATTTAAATGCAAATTTTTTATTGCGCTTATGATTTGAAATTATTTTTTACTTATTGACTTTATCTATCACTACTTATTTGTTTATTCACTTATGAATCAGTGATCTTGCCAGTCTTGCTAGCGAACATATTTTTAACAGCCTGGTTTATAGAAGACATGAAGTAATTATTAAATTAATAAATATATATTAACTGCTACAAAATAAAAGCCACTGCTTTGACATCTGTAAACTATACCAACGTCTTAAAATTAAAATATGATGAGTTATTCTATAAATTCAACTGCAAAAGAAATCTATTAAGACCAGGAGTTGAGAGAATCAAGGCATTCTCTGGTCGGAGTTAATGCTTGGCTGAGACCCAAGGGTTTCAAGTAGGAAGGCTTCCTGCTTCAACCAGAGCGGCTCTCCTGAATCAGCATTTCACAGAGGTGTTCTGCATAAGCTTTTGTTGGAAGAAAGATCCACTGCTTAAAACAAGTGGTTGGGATAGAGTGGTGCAAACTACTATCCCAGAGAATTGGGATAAAAAAGGTAGCTGAAATGACTTCACATGCAAATTTTTATTTCTTTTCCCTTTAAAAGTCAATGTGCTGTATTATTGTTTTTATAATATAACAGCATAAGATTACCTCTGCTCTGATTTTAAAGATCTAAGCAATTTATCCTGTTTAGAATTTTAGATGTAAACGAAGCAGTAAGGCATCTAGGTTCAGAAAATCTTTGTCTTTTAACCATATAAAAAATTGAAAGCTAAATTTCATGTTGGAGAATTTTAGAATCTTTGGTTCAAAGATTTCTCCTTCCATTGTGCTAATAGTTTATTTATATTTGATTTCTTTCTCTATGGAAAGAACATATAAAAACATGTTTAGTTTTTCCCTCTTTCCAGGTTACATTTTATCTTGAGTAGGTTTAAAACCAGATTAGCTGTAATAGGATTCCAGGATGTGGGCAGATGTCTACTTGTCATGGATGATATCTCTTGCAATCAGCTCCTTCATTATTTCATTGGTGCCACCGTAGATTGGCTGAACTCGTGCATCCACATAAGCTCTGGATTAATCAGAAGATGATTGAATGCATAAATAAAGGACATTAGAAACTGTAAATTTGTCTCACCAGGTAACTACTAATTGAAGTATTCACTTAATACAATCTAAACAATAACAGTCCTTCAAAATTACTAGTTTTCCAATATGGCATTCATCCCAGATTGGTATAATGGTAAAAAAAAAAAAAAAAAAAAATCTATTAAGATATTGATAACCTGTATAGCCTTGCTTTAGTTTGCTTAAAGAGATTACAAAATCAAAATAACATAAGTATGTTTCATCTGATTTAATTTTGTAAAGTTCAGTATATATAGTAGCATTATTAAAAACTCTGTTCTATATTTAGAGATACACAAAATGTCTTAGTTTCTTATTATCGCTAATGTTTCCTTAAAAAGTTGAAATTGACTGGTTTTCTAGAAAACAAAAGAAAAAAGATGTATATATTTTCCAGCATCCCCTTAGATTCCACCACCACTATCACCACCAGGAGTATAAACTGATACTTTAGAAAATATTATTTTCCAGAAAGTTAACAAGTAACTTGCTTTTTAGAAACGGTTAATAATCATTTCAGCAACGTGTGGGGTTAAAATACTAAGTGGCTCAGTCCATTGCCACACGCAAAAAAAAATAACAGGAGTTCACTTTTGATAGCCATGATAGCAACAATGCCACAGTGCAGTGGTTTTTTTTAAAAAAAATCTTTTCTTGTCTCATTTTATCCTCTCAGCTCTGGGATCGGGGGGATAAATAGTATCATTGTTTTGTAGGTAAACGAACTGACGTTCAGAGAAGTTAATACAGTCACTAATTAATGGTTGCTATTTAATCATCACTAACAGATAACTAGCAGACAAGAATGAGGAGGTAGGTATCCTGCCTCTTTCTCAGATAACTTTTTTATTCTATCACAACACTTTCACTGGCCCAGGCATTTAGGGCTAGTTATTGAACTTTTGGACTTTCCTAGCAGACAAATTCAAAGGCATTTTTTTCAGGCATAATCTTTTTTTTTTAATCTAATTTTAAGACAAATTAAATGTGCCAGCTCTCTAGGAAAATAACCAATTCTGGACTCATCTATCTCCATATTTCAGAGTTCCTTGCAAACAAGTGGATACTCAGTAAATACTTACCAATTTGATTTACTGTATTACAAAGAAAATTTAGAAACTCAGTACTTTCTGGTTAAATCTTTAAAAGCGAGAGACATTTATGTTTTCAAACATGTTTTTTTCTGAACAGATGCTGTCGTTCCCTGAAAAACCTAGCACCTGTGTTTGTTTCTAGGACCCACCCGGCATCTCAGCCTACTCCAGCAATCCCAATGCTTTAGACGTTTTTTGGACTGGGTTGGGAATTTTTTTTCACATTAATGAGTTTCCAACAGAGCAGGTCAAGACAGAGATGAGTAGACCTTTTATAGGTTACTAGTTAAATTTAGTCATCAACTAAAATTAACAGAGAAAGACAGCAGCAGAAATGTTTAACCACCCTGCACTGAAGCCGTACGTCTCAGGCTGCTTTACCCAGCACGGCAGAAAAGTCATTAGATGGCAAAGCTTAAACTGCACTTGTCCCAGGCTCAAGCCTTATGAGTAAGACTGAAATAAACCAGTCATTAAAAAAGACAAAAACAAAACAGCAAAAAAAGCACCTCTTTTGTCTGTGAAACCAAGACTCAGCTGTGTGTGTGTGTGTGTTTGTATAAACAAATAATGTAGGTTAAACTGGGAAACATAAGAAATACAATTAGCATTTTTATCCTATCAAATCAAAGTCTGTACGTTACATCCACATACTGCCTAATGTGTCTAACTGGCTCTTTTGATAACATATGATGTTAACATTAGGTGACATACAGGAAGAGAAAGAACAGTCTAGTTTAAAGATTCACAGAGTTTTTGAATGAAAAGCTGACCAAGAAGGGTGATTACTATTTCTTAAAAGGAATGTAAGTCTCTCAAACTGAAACCAAGAATTTCAAATAAATCATGAAGCTACAATTTTTGCTGGCTACTGACTTGAAGGAATTGACTGAGAAAACCGAGACCAAGGCCTATGTCACACTCTGATTGTAAGCCATTTAGACAGTGGTCTCCGCCCTACCCTAATACGCCTTTCTTAGAACTTGAACTAAACCACACAAACACTGAGTCGCTACATAGCTCCTGTTCTTAACTCTATGTAATCTTAACAAAATGTTTGTTTTTCTCATTAAGGATGATAAGCACATCAATTGTTTTCAGCATGCTTACCAAAATAATAACTTTGAAATCATCAGATTGCCAGTATGAATACGATTTTGATAATTTTCCCATGTAGATATTTTATATTAAGATAAACATTTTTTACTGTTTCTAGAAGCCTGTAGCATTCTTATTCTCAGATTCAGAACACAGGACTTTTCTACATGAATCAAAAATTTTGGCTTGTGGATCACACCTGTAATCCCAGCACTTTGGGAGGCCGAAGTGGGAGGATCGCTTGAGCTCAGGAGTTCGAGACCAGCCTGGGCAACATAGTGAGACTCCCCCATGTGTACATTTTTTTTTTAATTAGTCAAGTGTGGTGGTACACACTCATAGTCCCCAGCTACTCAAGAGGCTGAAGAGAGGGGATCTCCTAAACCCAGGAGGTCGAAGCTGTGTTGAGCCATGATCTTGCCACTGTACTCCAGCCTGGGCCACAGAGTAAGAACCAGACTCAAAAACAAAAAAATTTTCCCAAAATTTTTTGAACTGAAAATATTGCTACATAAGAGGAGAAATATATTGTCTAGGGTGATATCATGGAGAAATATATGCGAAAATTCTGAGGCAAAAGACTATGAAAAGAGAGAAAGAGGAAATTATAAAGATTGGGAAAGAAAAATAGGAGAGACCATTTACAAATTACTATTGCTTCGAACTGATAAGAATATTTATATGTCATACAATAAACAGAGGTGTATTTAATTTTTTTACTTTCAAGAAAATAAAAAATCTATTTAAAAAAACAAAGATTCTTGATTTATCTTTCAGAACAAAATAATCAAATATTTAAGATATGACAACCTAGATACCTTTCATATGCCTATTAATTTTTCTGTATTGCTAATTTTTTAAAGTGGTATTTGTCCTTCTATGTAATGATTCAAATAAAGTCCAGTGTCAAGCTTTTATATATTGGTTTCTTTCTTTGAAAATAATAAACTCCTAGGGTAAGTTGATAAGACAGAGCTATTTCCATTTGTTCGAACATACTCTGTCTGCAGTCAGTTGAAAAATTCAAAGATTTCTTAACTCCTTTCTCTCTGTACTTGATGTACAGGAAAGAAAATTTCCTTTTCCATTGCATCATGAAGAAAAGTGTGAGAGAACAAGTATACTTACTTGGCAATTGGGTACTCCCACATGTACCCCCAACCTCCATGGAGTTGCACACAGTCATAAGCTACAGTGTTTTGTAACTCGGATGCCCTAGATGACCAAATGAAAAGCAGAAAAGAAACGATTTTCATGAGGTGCTTCACAATCAGGAAACTACTTATTTACGATTGTTTTTAAACACAGATTTATCAAGCAATTAAAATGGCATATCAGCTGACCAGAGAAGATGATAAAAACTACAAATGAAATACATTTCAAGAGAATTTTCACATAGAGAATACCTTCTTTATTAATTATATTTCGGGCTGGTTTTTTGTTAAAGCTAAAAATAAAAGGTAGAAAACCAAGACTATTAGGTTTTGGTTGTTTTAGGCTTGAATGTGATATAGCAAAGACTTGAATTTTGTCCCCACTAGGATTCTCTACGTGACCTAACCACTCAGCCATTTAGTTTCTTTTGCCTTTGTAAAGTCTTTTTTTCTTCAATGATGTCACTTTCTACCTGAAGATCACCAATCTGAATTTCAGTATTAAAAAATATGTTTTCAGCCGGGCTCGGTGGCTCAGCCTGTCATCCCGCGCCTTTGGGAGGCTGAGGTGAGTGGATTGCCTGAGCCCGCGGGTTCGAGACCCACCTGGGCAGCGAGACCTCATCTCTACAATAAATCAAAAAATCAGCCGGTCGTGGTAGTGCATGCCTGTAGTTCCGGCTACTGGGAAGGCTGAGGTGGAAGGATCACTGGAGCCCAGCAGGTCGAGGCTGCAGTGGCCGAGAGCAGCCACTGCACTCCGGTCTGGGTGACAGAGTGAGACTCCAACTCAAAACAAACAAACAAACAAAAAATATGTTTTCAGTGTTCTGAGTTTTCAGAAATAAACTGAAAGTAAAAGTAAAAGTAAGAGGATATACTTTTAAAGTATATGCCATCACACAGGAAACTTGTTAGAAAATTATTTAAGAATTATTATCCATGAAGCCTGTGTATGTATATGCATGTGTATATACCTACACACACACACACATATATGCAGACACACATACACATATATATGTACACATAGAAAGTACTTGAGAAATTATTTTCTGATCATATCACAATTCTAACTACCATTGAAATCCATAAAAACTGGGATTTTATTCACCTTAACATAAAAATATAGGTTAGTGCAAAATTATTTTCTGTTTCTATTTCTTTTTTTTGGAGTTGGAGTCTCACTCTGTCGCCCAGACTGGAGTGCAGTGGTCGCTCCTGGCCACCGCAGTCTCGAGCTCCGGCGATCCTTCCGCCTCAGTCTTCCGAGTAGCCGGAATTACAGGCGCGCGCTGCCACACCCAGCAAATTTTTTTTGATTTATTGTAGTGATGAGGTCTCGCCAAGTTGCCCAGGCGGATCTCGAACCCGCGGGCTCAGGCAATCCACTCACCTCAGCCTCCCAAGGCGCGGGATTACAGGCTGAGCCACTGAGCCCGGCTTCTATTTCTTTTTCTTTTTTTAGTGACAAGGTCTCACTATGTCACCCAGGCTGGAGTGCAGTGGTACAATCATAGCTCACTGCAGCTTTGAACTCTCAGGCTCAAGTGATCCTCCCACCTCAGCCTCCCGAGTAGCTGGGATTACTGGTGCGAGGTACAGCACCTGGTGACTTATTCTGCAAAGGTAGGAAACATAAACACATTTCCTATTTAAAATAATTTTCAACTCAAACCATAGGGGAGGTGAGGATGTTTCTAAAAATATATTAACAATTTCACTATTAACAAACAAGACTATGGGAGCAGTAATATTTGGAATTCAGTACTTTTTTGGATTTAGCAAGCATTTGAATGAAATATTTACTGGTTTATAACTAGTTTCTTCCTATACTTCAAGGTAAAACACCAATATGTTTATATACCTGGTGTTTTCAATGAACAACAAGGTCAATAGCTCTGCAAACTTCTCTTTTTTTCCAAAAATATCTAAGTTATTTTTATACTTTTCCCCACTATTCAAATAACTAGTTGGAAATGTAAATATAAAGTCTCCCCCAAAAGTGCAAGTTCCTACTAATTCCACATTACTTTTCAAGCCAGCACTTTTATTTTTATGAGATCATTACATAAAGCACCAAATATCTCCCCTATTCTACTTGTGACTGAACGGACCACAAGTTAATGAATAATGACAGGAATTTTTTCTAGGTTACTTTTCAGCTAATGAGATGTGAGAATGTTTGTTTTTAAAAAGAGGAAACAAAATCCACTTCCAGAATCTGATTTAGACTGTGTGTTCCTAAATCTTAAAATACACAAAAGACTTACTGGGGTCTTTTTTTTGTCCCCCCAATTGAATTATAGCTTTGTTTTAGATTTTACTAGCAGTTTATAATGCTTTTTAAAATTAATGCATCTTTAACATCATTGTTAATTATCTTTAATGGAAATGACAGTCTTTCCAAACTTCATGGAATATCTTTTCCTCTCAACAGAGCATGTGCAACTTTTGACTGGACGGTCAGTTCTTCGTGAAACTTTTTGTCTCTGAGGTGGGGTCTCACTCGGTCCCCCAGGCCGGAGGGCAGCGGCCGCTCCCGGCCGCCGCGGCCTCCACCTGCCGGGCTCCGGCCATCCTTTCGCCTCCGCCCTCCGAGTAGCCGGAACTACAGGCGCGCGCCCGGCTGATGTTTGATTGATGGTGGAGATGAGGTCTCGCCCAGTTGCCCGGGCGGGTCTCGAACCCGCGGGCTCAGGCCACCCACTCACCTCGGCCTCCCAAAGTGCTGGGACGACAGGTTGAGCCACCGAGCCCGGCTCTTCACGAGTTTTGTTCTTGGATCTGGAAAAATCCTGTCCAACCTAGTCATTTCCCAGATAACAAAACATTTTCCCAGCGAGCTTAGAGTTTAACTGTGGCTACTTAATAAAGTAATCGGGATTCTCATCTCAAGACTTCCAAGTTTTAGTGCTTCCTTTCAGACTCACTCTACTGCCACTCATCTGACAGTTTGAAATCAACTATTACTTGAATGATTTACTTAATATTGCTATTATTTATCCTGCTCTGAATGTTATTTTCGGTGTCAAATTACGCATTAAACACCAACTTTGCTTGCTTATTGGAATAAAAAAACTAAACACCAACTTGATAATTTTCAGCATATTATAAATGGGCTTCATGGGATTTTCGGCATTAAAAAAAATGAGGTCTCACTTGTATTTTTCACTTACACAGCCTTCTTCCTTCAAGACCCTTAAGGCTGAGTTTAAAGTTAGCAGAATTCCATCACAGTCTAAGCAAACACCACACTGCAATTACTGTAGCACGCATACCAATATTTCGCCATGGAAGCAGAGGCGGAGTCCAGACGTTTTGTTTCATGCAGCTGCAGACAGCTGTCCACAAAAGCTCTGGTTACACATATGTGTGTTTTTAATTCTGCTAGTTTGTGCTGCACCGTCTTGAGTTCAGAGGAAGCAAAAGAAAAAAATAAGTATGGCAGAAGTACACATTTTGACTCACCTAGCCTATCAAAAATGATATAACAAAAGATCTTTGGAGCAAAACAAAAGTGGGATCGCCAGCTTTTTCCTCCATAAAAAGGGCACACGTTACAAAATCAGCTTAAATTTAAAACCCACTACATTTCAGTGCTAAGGAAACTTGTACCAAAAGATGCAAAAATGGTTACACACATCAATAACACCTTTTAGATTCTAAAATGTAGACCATTAAGGGAAAGCTTGAAAAACAGCACGACTCTAATGTGTGAGCACCACCTTGTGGCACAGTTCTTTCGGAAAAGTTGTTGAAAAGGTGTATTATTCCACAGAGACTAAATCCTAGAAGATATTTTCTCTATTCACAAAATTAAGAATATAGATTTCTCTGCTCTGCTTCTAATGGCTAGAGGGACAAGGGCGTTCCATATGCTCACAAACACATTAAAATATTTATTAGACATTATTATTTAATATTGCAAAGTATTTAATCTGTATCTGTAGAGTGCAATAAAATAATAATAAAATCAGAGTCCCCAGGAGATCGAAGTCCAGTACGCTACAAACTCTTCCAATCCTCCCCATTCTCCCTCCCACCCCCCTCAACAGATAGTCTAGCAGTTTCTAATTTGAACTGATTGGTTCTAGAATTATCCATGTTAATGTACCTAAGTACCTACTTCCTCCTGCGAGCCATGGACAACCCACCACATTTTTGAAGGTCATTCTATTTAGACCCATCCCCCATTGCTCTTGACTACTCTCACTTCCATCAGGTTTTATTTCAATCCTGACTCTTGGCTCTCATACCCTGAACGTGGAGTTCACATCTGCTCTCTTTGGCACAGACTCTTGAACCTCCTTCAGAAAATTGGCTTGGACTTAAAATACTGGCTCCCTACTTTGGGCAGTCTCCAAAAGTACATACCTGCTGTGCTGATAGGGAAAAAAAAAAAAAAATCCCAACCCAACTGAGTGTCATTCCCTTGGCTTTACCCTACCCCGTTCTAGAAACAAAGATCGTAACTGGCATCTCATGCTTCTAAAACCAAGCAGTGGGTAGGATGGCCCTGCACGCCTTTCTTCTCTGTATCCTGCTCTCTATTTCTCAACATGCTGGGTTACACGGAAACTTCTTTCCCTCTTGTTTTTCTATCTCCATTTCTATTCGTGATATATTTATTTAGGCCAAATCTCTTTCCTTTAATCAGCACAAAGTTTCCCATTCCCATCCCACACATTCAAGTTTCCCTGTAGAAAATCTAAGGGTGGAAAAAGAAATGAAGAAAGTAAGAAAAAAATAATCTTCTGTATGCTGTGTCAAGATACTTGTGGCTCTATATGACGCCACACTTGAGAAAGAATGCACTGTTTACAGGGTACGAGAATCAATACTCCCAAGCCTGATTCTCTCATACAGGAGCTGTTTCCTCTGTGAATGCTGGGAACTGCCAGAAACTGAAGTTAAATTTCAGACTAGAACAAAATCATTTCAAATTTTTGTTTCACAGTGCATTCAGTGAGGTCCAAAGGTCTGAAAGAATTAACGCCGCCAAGAGCACATAATTTACCCTCTAGGGATTAAATATTTATGTATTCTTGGCATTGAGTTGGATGTTACTGAATAGATTTGCTTTGCTCTTCACCGTAGACATTGCAGTATGCTTTCTGAAATAACCCTCTTATGAATGGCAGCTAATAATTGCACCACACATGATTGGCAAGGTACTTTTTGTGAATGATCAACATGTTCATACCAATATTTTTAAGTTATTAGTATTCACTAATAGATAATACTACAGCTAGCATAAAAAAATTCTTCTGAAGTTACTAAGTGGATCAGATAGGATCTTCTTCAGAGTTCTGAATGACAAAAGACTTAGAATAATAGAATTATGGAATTGGAAGACATCTTGGAAAGGTTATCTAGTCCAGTGTTCACTTAAACAACATCATTAGTTGTACTGTCATATATTATGACAAATATAAAATAAAACAAATTAGATTTGCAACCTAATTTTATAGTTAATTAGTCCCATGCGTAAGGTCTTAAAAACTGGCTATTCTCATTTTGGAAGCATAGAAGGAAGATGTGTTATTTTTTTTCCCTCACCTATTCTTCTTGCTAATACTCTGTGCCCTTAAAATCAAGAACACCTATCACAAAGGAAATGACTAAGCGCTCTCGTTACAAAAGAGCATTCCATTTTCACTTCATTGCCCATTGGGAGAAAGAAATAGGGAAAGAAAAAAGGTCCATCTACTTTAAACTTCTAAGGAGTAAAAATAGTGCATGGGTTAAGAGTAGTTAGAATATCTGTAATGTGGGTCAAGTTACCTAACCTCTCTCTGTCTCCAGTTCCTTATCTGTAAAATGAGAATAATTAAAATACTTACCATAAAGCATTGTGAGAGGAAATAATAAGACACTTCATTTAGCACAGTGTGACACATAGGAGCAGCCAACAGAGGATAGCCGTTATTATTTAACATCTGAATTTTACTTTTCAAAAATTGTCTATTCCATGGAAAATCATAAGACTTGTTAGCAACTATGGAAAGTGTAGATTTTAGAAAATCCTACAGCTATTGCTACACCAGCATGATAGTTCTCCATTCTATAAATAAAATGAATTTGGTGACATGCATTCAAGTGGTGAGAAACACCCAACATGTTCAAAATGCATGGATAACAAAGAGAAAGAAAATTGAATAGCAATGTGCTTACAGGCCATAAAATGACACTTAGTCACGTGTAATGTAACATCTAGAGGTCTTCTATTTCAATCGAACAACTAGAACCATAGTATACTGAGCTCTAGAATAGAAGGTGCAGGTATGTACAGTATTGGTCATTTACTTTCTCCTACCTTGAAATATGAAACAAAGATAATTATGTAGATAAAACAATAATCAGAAGAAATATTTCAGAACATCGATGCTTACTTGGAAAACAACACTACTAGCCAGCATAATGTATCTGTGGAAGCAGAATGCTACTGCCATCTACTGAAATTTTAGTGAACTACCTTTGAAAAGAGAATAATAAAATGACTCCAGATTCGAGGAGAAATGACTAAAACTATTCCTTGTCTTTTTGCTATAAAAATCCAATAAATAGATATTTTAAAAGAAAATCATCCTCTCCGGGAAAACAATATAGACAAAACGCCTATTTCCATCATGATTAAATGTCAAGTCGCGTGCTATCTGAGCCATTCAGGCAATCTGAGTAATACAGTCATCCTTGCTGTAATCTAATATGTTCAAAAACCCAGGAAACGTAAAATTCCAAAGGGATAGAGATATGTCTATTTGGTTCAATTGTTACAGCTGCCAGAAAAAGGCTAAAGGCATGAGTGCCTTAGCAAACATTTTTGATGTGAAAGTGTTGGTGGTTGGATTTCAGAAGCAAATGACACCAATTTCATTTTGGATATGGTTGAAAAAGTCACAGAATGATACATATCACTAAAGAGTATCATTGCCAGGAGCCTGTAGTGTGTATTTCCAGAGTCAATCCTACCAAATTACATTTGACCAGCATAACCCTTAGAAGGCAATCAATACCATATTTGCTCAGTGAAACAAAAAGGAATAAATCATGGATGTCGGTATTTCTCAATGGGAGATTATCGGTATTTTGAGTGAGGGAATTAATTGTAATACAAACCTATTTCTGAATTACTGGACACTTAGCAACACTGCCCTCCAGGGCACTATTCAAATTACATCTCCAGTCACTGTGCACCCCATCCCTGGCATTTCTAAATGCTTGGGGGAAAGGACAGCCAACCAGAACCACTGGTGTGTGTCAATCAGTGATCCACAAATGAAAGGGATTATAAAGTATGGCATCCTTGCTCTTAAGGACATCACAATTCAGGCAAGTTAAGTTATACTGTGTTTTTAAAATGTTTTTTCGATTGAGTGTGTGCCTTGTCTTTATAGATTCAGAACAACTGTTTTAGGTCTGTTATGTCAATAAGAAAAGTTAGAATATAAAGACTTCATTTTTCAGGATGGAAAAAAGTTAACTTGAAGACCACCTAGGTGGCAAACAGTTCCCAAAATGACACACAGAAGATACAGATCAAAAGCTAGAGGTAGGCATTGATAAAAAGATACCCTATACTGAAACAGAGCAAGGCATTATATAAGGGAAAAATAATGATAACAGCTAATTTTAATGAGGGCTTACTTTGGCAGGCAATATTCCAAGACTTTATTATCCCATATAATTCTCACAGTAACTCTATGATCATAGGTTGTCTCTGATATTCACAAATAAGAAAATATTTTTATTTGTGAATATCCTATTTGTGAATAAATTTTACAAACTTAGAAACTTTAAGATTTATAGCTGTAAGATTTTACGATTTCCCAAATCAAATATATTTACTAAATTTACAAATAGGACAATATTTCTGAGAGAGAGAATACAACTTGCCTGGACTACAGAGATTCAAGGAGCTGGGTTAGGACTTAAATCACACTTAAACATAATTTCTATAATGCTGGTCCCAAAAAACTACCAAGGTGCTTTATCTCTGCCTTTCCCTTCACAAAGCCTTTTAGCCAAAGTCATTCTACTTTTTTAAAAAAATGTTTTTTTCATAGCTCATTGCAGCCTCAAACTCCTAAGCCCAAGCAATCTTCCCCCCTCAGCCCTCTGAGTAGCTGAGACTACAGATGTGCACCTGTAATTTTTGTATTTTTTGTAGAGACGAGGTCTCACTTTTCTGCCAAGGCTGGTCTCAAACTCTTGGCTTCAAGGGATCCTCCCATCTCAGCCTTCCAAACTACTGGAACTCGGGTACCCAACCCTACTTAAGTTGTTTAAAGTAGAATTCTAACTTCAGGTTTTTTTTCTGGTGAGCTGTTTCACCAATTTGATGACTACATTGCTCATATTCTTTCATTTAACAAGACCCTAGAGGGTCTAATATTTAATTGGCATATGGGGTGATTGTGGCCACCATCTACTGAGCTCTTTTGCAAACACCTTAAACTTCCTGGCAAAACACAATCTTAAATAAGCACAATCATCTGGCTTCTCTGTTTGTACCTGGGTGGTCAAACACTTAAAGCTGATACAAAAAAAGCAGAAGGTACCATAAATTCGTGATCCCTAACCTCATCTGGGCCCTCAATACTGCTAGCAGGCTTATGGATTTTCTCTAGTGAGTTTAGTCTCTCACTCTGAAGAGGGTTATTTCAAACCTTCCTTACTCTCCTCAGACACCTCCATGCCCCTTGCATTCACCTCTCTTTCAAGAACTTTCCCTATCATTATTTAAGGAAACCGAAGACTTCTAGAAATTTTTGGTAGTTTTCTTTTTTTTTTTTTACCAGCAGAGATATGTATCCAATTGAACCCACACCCATCCTTTGTTCTTTTCTTCCTGTTCCAGTGGAGGAATACCTCTCCTGTTGAGATGGGAAGGCTCCTCTTCCGTGTGTGTCAGCAACCACAATGCCAACCTTTCTCAAGGACCCCATGATTATCCCTTCATATCTACAATCTTTCCCTTGTGACTAATCCTTTCTGTAGGTATTAAAACATGTTCCTGTATTTCCATCCTAGCAACAATCACAAAAAATTAATAACCCCCCAGATCTCCCTTTTCTACTCAAGACCCCCTTTTCCCTCTCTCCCTTCATAAGCATCCTTTCTCTCAACCACGTTCACAGCCAAATTCGGGAAAGAGTTGCCTGCCATCAGGATCTTTCCTTTCTCATTTCTGTCTCCTCTACTCACTCTGGTCTGTCATCCCTCCACCAACCACCAGGAATGGCTCTTACTAAATGATCTTCACACCGTGATATTCAAGGAGCAGACTCTGACCTTCATCTTCTTTTTCCTCCAAGTGGCATTTGGTCCCACTCCTCCATGGAGTCTACTCTCCTGATTTGCTTTCTCCTTTCTAACTGTTCATTCCCAGTCATCTTTGCAAGCTCCACTTTTTCTATTCCATCTTTAAACCTTGTTGTTTTTCTCGAGGACTCCGTTCTAGAATCTCTTCTTGGCTTTCTACTCTCTGTCCCTTAGTGGTCTCATCCACTTCCACGGTCTCTAATATCACCGTATATGAAAATCACCCCAAGCTTATGTTTACACTAGACTCATTTCAGGTGAATAAACTGATATCGTCTAATAGTAAACCATAATGACAAGCTTACCTGTATGTGGGCAACTGTTTTCCCAAAAGCTTTTCTTTGTTTAACATAGTTCCTGGTTTCTTCAAACATAAATTCACAGGCTGAAATGGCCAAGTCAGCAATTAACAGCCTTTCCTATAGCACAAAAATTAGGTCCTAAACATTATTTTAATTATAGAAGTGATTTTTCACACAGTTGCAATGATAATAAATCTTATGAATAATCTTTATAATAAACTCCTAAAGATGATTTTATTTCTTAACTCTTTATTTTAAAAAAAGGCTCCCCTGGAGATTTGTCAGATTCTTTTTCACATATCTGTAATAGCTTTCTAAAGAAAACTATTTTTATGAATAATTGTCATTATTTTTTAATTAAAAAAATTTTTTTGACTTGCAGTCTCACTCTGTCACCCAGATTGGAGTGCAGTGGCATGATCACAGCCCACTGCAGCCTCAACCTCCCGGGCTCAAGCAGTACTTCCACCTCAGCCTCTCAAGCAGCTGGGACTACAGCATGCACCACCATGCTTGGCTAATTTTTTAGTTTTATTTTTTGTAGAGATGAGATCTTGCTATGTTGTGCAGGCTGGTTTTGAACTCAAGCAATCCTCCTACCTTGGCTTCTCAAAGAGCTGGGACTACAGGCAGAAGCCACTGTACCCAGCCTAAAAACTTTTTCAGAGATGTGGTCTTGTTGCGTCACCCAGGCTGGAGTGTAGGCGCATGACCACAGCCTACTGCAGCCTCGAACTCCTGGGCTCCAGCTATCCTCCCACCTCAGCCAGCCTCCTGAGTAGCTTTAACTACAGGTGCACACCATGCCTGGCTGATTTTTAAAAAATTGTTTATAGAGTTGAGGTCTTGCTATGCTGCCCAGGCTGGTCTTGAACCCCTCGCCTCAAGTGATCCTCCAGTCTCAGCTTCCTGAATAACTGGAACTGGCAATATGCCACCATGCCCATGAATGAATGTCTTTATTATATATATGTAATTTGTTTTATTTTTTTCTTCTCTTTACTCATATGTGAGTTAAAAAAGTTCCTAGTTATTTATTTTTATTTATTGACCGCCGTGTACCATATAACTTAATATATCTGTAGAAATCAGCATCTTAAAGTGCATAGGTTAAATTCTATTAGTGTAAAAGCAGCCTTAGACAGTTTGATTCTATCATGTTGGTGATTTTCATATTCTATTTAAGTGCCAGTGTTCCTAGCCCTTGTCCTCAGTTTTATCTTTAGCCCGTGACATTGCAATAACTAGGGAGGTATACCCCCTTACACTGGCATCTAAGGCTCAATGATGTTTGGCAACCATACTCCAAAAACACAGATGTTTAGAGACTGACTTTATGTGGCTGAAACTTTTCAGTTTGAACTTAACGTTTTTCCTTTTGATTCACAGTTATTATTTAAAAATGCCAAATGTTTAGGGCGACAATTCCTTACAAAAAGCTAAAAGTTTCTGTCTTGTAATTAAGAAGCTAAAACTATTCCAAGAAAGCATCTGAGAACTGAAACACCTATTTTTTCCTATTCACTTTATTTGCTTTGACTGGATACCCCTTTGTTCAGTAATTTGCTTATCTAGTCTATAAAACTCATATTTTTGTTATAACTTTAACACTCAGATGATTGGTTATTTCACAAGTTTTGCATACATGAATATATAGAGTTCTATATTATTTTACTTCAGTTTATTATCTCATGAAAAGATGAAATCTTTAAACACTTCTGACCTGGGGAAGCTCTTGCATGAGGTAATAAAAGCCTTTATTCTCTTCTCCAAGTAGGGCACTAGCTGGCAACCGTACATCTTCAAAGAATAGTTCTGCAGTATCCTAAAAGACCATTCAATTAAGTAGAGAATGATTTCAAGTAAACCTCCCAATACTCCAGTAAGGTGACTATTATTATTTCCAGGTAAGAAATAGGAAACAAAACAAAGAAATTGTAAGCCAAGTCGGGGCAGAGACTGAACACAGCTAGTTAAGTGGAAAGACCAGGGATTCGGGTCCAGGCCCATCATCTTCCAGTTCTCGAGGAAAAGACAGCTAAGGATTTCTAATACACATGCCGAACATATGTGCTTTTGGTAATGTGTAGAAAAGTATTTTCTGTCCCGACCTCCTAATTTTCTTCATTAAACTGTATAAATATGTAGCTTGGCATGTAGCTAATTTTGCCATTTCTAAAGCAGGTATTCAAAACATCCTGATTCATTTCCAGACCAGAAAGAGATACAGTGGCGTAAACGTAATAAATCTCCATGATCACATCAGAAAGGCATATTTTAGAAATTGATATTTTAGGAATTTGGCCTAGTAGGGCATACTTGTGCCACATGTAATCCTCTATGTAACTGCAAACTCAATTATTACCCAAATATGATTTCTATTGTGACTTACCTGGGCTTTTAATCCCATTTTATGTAGCTTTCGCCCCTTGATAAATCCTTTCATTCCATCTTCCACCAGAAAAAGGCTAATACCATGAGCAGGGGAGCGAGCTTCACGATTTGTGACTGCGACTACAATCACAACATCGCCTAACCACCCATTGGTGATGAACACCTGCAAAACCCCAAGAACACAGTAGTTCAGGTCCACATGCAAGTTACAATTGGGGGAAGCATATTCAAGAAGACAAAAGCAGACAAGACATGCCTCATACTTTACCCAACTTTCTGCAGAGTTGATTATTCACACGTGGGGTCATTAAGGATCGGGGACGTGAAGCCTATACTTTTTTCTCTTCACTATTAATACTACAAATAACAATAATTAACATAGATTGCTTTGTTCTTTTAAAAATATAATCACATTTTCTATTAAAATGATAAATTTTATTTTAGATGGTAGGAAAAGAGAATCCTCTCTAAATGGCACTATATATTAAATAATGTGGGGTTGGGCGCAGTGGCCCACACCTGTAATCCCAAAGCACTTGGGGAAGCCAAGACAGGAGTTTGAGACCAGCCAGAGCAACAGAGTGGATCCCCATCGCTACAAAAGAGAAAAATAACAAAAATTAGCTGAGCATGATGATGTCTGTCTACAGTCACATCTACTCAGGAAATGGAGGTGGGGGGAATTGCTTGAGCCCAAGAGTTTGAGGTTATACTAAGCCATGGCTGTGCCACTGCACTCTAGCCTGGGTGACACAGCGAGAACTCATCTCTAAAAAAATAAAAAGTATGTGCACTCCCAGATGTATCGGTTTTCACAAAGACTTACTTTTAATTGTTATAATTGATAACCTACTTTCAAAACGGCCTAAACAAGAGACTATGATTAAGGAGGGAGAAATAACAAACCGAATGGGAGGCATTATCAGATGACATTGATTCAGAAACAAAACATGCCCAGAGCAAATACTAATAATTATCTTCTCATTCTTCACCTTTCCTGTATCATCTCAACCTCTTCCATGGCTTTAGCTACCCTCTACATACTGATGACTCCAGATCATCATCTAAGGCATATTTCTTGCTAGGATCTAGACCTGTATATTTACCTGCTTTCAGACAGTTTCACCTGATGACTTATGGGTGACATAGTCCTTCCCAGCCCTACTTCAATCTAATACAGAATATCAACCTATTTTCTTATCTCCATAAATGCTTCAATAAATCATGCTATCATCCTGTTTTATATTAAATTCAGCGTCCAGTTCTTTCTAATCCACTTTAATACGTTTATGTCTATTCACTGGCTTTCCCTTCTATTACCATTACCTTATTTCTGGCCCTCATCATTTCTTGCTTAAGTTCCTACAACTGATCACGCTACAGCACTGTATCATCCATCATATGCCAGACAGAGCTTTCTAAAATGGAATCTGACCACACTTACACATTTCCTAGTAGGCTTTGGGATAAATTTGAAACCCTAAGCAGAACATGCAAAACTCATCTCCAACTGGCATTAGCTTGTCTCTCCTGTCCCACGCTTTCCCCAATCCCCTGTTCTACAGACGACTTGCTGTCCTTTACATTCCAAGGCCTTCCTGACCTATGGGCCTTTGAAAATCTTGTTTCCTGTACCTGGGAGGCCAACTCTGCTACAGTGAATTCCACTCACCCTAGACAGTTCAGACACAACATTGCCCCCAAAGTCTCAAATTTTCCAGGCTGAGTTAAGCACTACCACACCACCCCGAATTGACCATCATCTTGGCATTTATCAAACAGAATATAAATGATCTGTATTTATCCCTCTCCCTTTGAAATAGTAGGGGTATACAGTGATGTTGGTTACTCTCACAACTTAACCTCCATGCCCTTTATAGGATCAGTGCTCTAAAATGCAAAGGGGTGATACATACAAAAAATGGTCAACTAGAAAATGATATTAGTAAAATGGGCACAGTAGCTCATGCCTGCAATCCCAGCACTTTGGGAGGCGGATGCGAGAGGATTGCCTGAGTCCAGGGTTCGAGACTAGCCTGGACAACTTGGTGAGACCTGTCTCTACAACAAATCAAAAAAATTAGCCAAGCGTGGTGGCACATGCCTGTAGTTCCAGTTACTTGGAAGGTTGAGGCGGAAGGATCACCTGTGCTCAGGAAATTGAGTCTGCAGAAACCGTGATCATGCCACTGCACTCCAGCCTGGGCGACAGAGTGAGACTCCAACCCCCCCCCCCAAAAAAAAAGAAAAGAAAGAAAGAAAATGATGTTAGTATTGTCCACATGACAGCAAATGAAGGTTGGTGGCGGCGGGGTGGTTATAGACAACATAATAATAAAGGACTCTAAATCTCCTTCCCTATTTTTAGTCATTTCTTATTCATATATCTACCCTCAGTGCTAAAAAAAGTTTCTGGCATATAGGAGGCCTTCAAGGATGTTTTTAAAATATATTTTGAAAAATATATTTCTCAAAAAAATTCTATACATCGTGGCAAAAAATATTTTCTCAATAGTTTTGCTCCAGAAAGGAGCAAGAAACATGCCTTAGATAAAGATTTGGAGTCATCGTATTTGATTACACCATTCCCTTGTTCAAAAGCCTTGTAAGTCTTCCAATTTCTGACCTTTCTAAGATAACAGTCACCATTTGTGTAGTTGCCTCCACTGAATTATGATGTTTTTTGTTTGAATCACAGAGCATCCAGGAATCCTGTATGTTCTAAAATACATGGTCTCAGACATGTAGCAACTCTATATGACAGACAAACAATGGAATAGAAAGAAAGGAAAAAGCAGCCCTTAGGATAAAAATGATCCACTTCAATATTTTGATCTCATTTTGGTAAAATCAAGTGGAGTTCTCCAAACGTTCTTCTTGGAAGTAATCACAGAAAAGAGTTAATAAATTCTGAATGATTTCTATGACAGCTTGACCTAATGTGAGTGTTTCTACTACAATGGATTCCCCTTTCTAATAAAGTTATAAGAGAATTGTCCTCGTAAGCAGACTTTGTCAGTTGGTTTCCCAATTATGACAGTCAAAAGTTTGGATAGCTCTGAAGTTATCCCTAACGAGGGTCAGCATTTTTGGGAGGCGGGGGATCAAAAGTTTATAAAATAATAGATCCTCATGCTAAATATTATATAGATAGGATGTAATGTCATAAAAAAGGGAAAAAATAATTCTCTATGCATACATAACACAAACATCATTGTAAATTTCCTTTCTCTTTGATTTTCTTTCAACATTGTTAAATTTTTACATATTTGCATTCGAGAATCTTGTTTTTTCCTTTATTATTAACATACAGCTATTTTCCCATGCTGTTATAAACTTTGTGTGGATATTTTAATGGTTTCATATTAGTTCAGATGTACTATACCTGCTTACCCATTCCTTTACTTTCTCTTGCTTTCAGTTTTTTGTGATTCCTAATAGAGTTTTGAAAGAGTCAGCAGTACCTTTCCTGGGTGGTTCCCACAATAAAACACAACTGAGCAGGCAGGGCCTGCTGAGAAAACCAGAGACATAAGGGAATGTAGTTCTCATTTCACTTTTGAGTAAATATCCTTCTCTTCTATCAGAACAAGTCCTCTGTCTGCAGAGAGTTAACTGATTATTATAATTATTAGGACGAATAATTTAGAATAATATTTCTTAAAGTATATTTGAAGAACACCAGTGATTCAATTTTGTGAATACAAAGCTATTAGCCTTTACCAAAAAAACAGAAACTAGTTCTTCAAGAGACTTTGGAACATATTCTCAGAAAGATTTCCTTAAAACTGTATAGAGGCCGGGCTCGGTGGCTCAGCCTGTAATCCCGCGCCTTTGGGAGGCTGAGGTGAGTGAACTGCCTGAACCCGCGGGTTCGAGACCCGCGTGGGCAGCGAGACCTCATCTCTACAATAAATAAAAAAATCAGCCGGGTGTGGTAGTGCGCGCCTGTAGTTCTGGCTACTTGGAAGGCGGAGGCGGAAGGATCGCCGGAGCCCAGCAGGTCGAGGCTGCAGTGGCCGGGAGCGGCCACTGCACTCCAGTCTGGGCGACAGAGTGAGACTCCAACTCAAAAAAAACAAAACAAACAAACAAAAAAAACTGTATAGAGAATGAACGTCTTTCCTTAACACTCACTCAACAGCAAATGCTAACTGAGTGAACGCCACATACAATTTTAGGTGGCAATATCATTTTCCTTGAGTGATATCAGATTCTAAGGAATATATTTACAACTGAGTCCATTTTTAACCTTAATCGGAGGGGCTCTCAATTCTATCAGTGAGCGAACTGACAAGGACTGAAGGGTTCTCGAATTCTATCACTGATATCTTTATCTTCTAGGATTTTTTGAGTCTTCTTGATATTTATGTGAAAGCTTTTTTCCCAACCTTTAGCAATGGAAAGTTTAAGAATTGGTTGTCTAACCTTCCACTGTTCCAGTCTGATAAGGGCGTTTGGAAGCGAAAACGACCTTTGCCACATTAGTGAGGAGACAGGCAAAATGGAACACAGAAGAAGCTATCACAGATCTTCTGTATTATAAATGTACATTTCTTACTGTCCCCAAAGCAACTTAAGTGAACTCAGTTCCTGTGTGAGTCTCCAGACACAACAGAATTAATAATGATTAGTATCCGAGATGCTGTCACCCATAGCCTCTGGAGAGGCTACAGAAGTATCTCTTTACACACCTTGCTTCCATTGAGAATCCAGTCACTTCCATCCTTCTTGGCATTTGTTCTTACTCCTTGCAAGTCACTATAATTGAAATGAATGATAAAAAGTTCATCAACTAATAAAAATTAAATTATGCAAATGCTGTTATGTAAGGAAATTATTCAAACTGTAGTGACAACGATGATAAAAATTGTTCAATATTGAAAAGGCTCACACATTTGCTCTGAAAAATCATATAAGCACTCACACAAATGAATATATGGTTAAGATTATATAAACTTGCTTGATTTTTATAAAGCAGGACAGCAAAGTCCAGCTAACATTCAAGACCTCAAACTGGACTCAGATCACATTTCAACACTTACTAATCCCTGAGATTCTGTGTCACCATGTGCTTAGCTGCATCTATATACCTTGGTTCCTTCCCCTACCTGTTTATCAAAATTTAGTTATTAAATTCCTATGTCTCAAATGATTTTCTCTAAGAAACCTGTTCTAAAAGTAGAACATTTCCAATTTTCATGAATAGCTTACAAAAAATAGCACCTACATATAAAATAGTCCACATCACTTATTGTTGTGAAATGTTTCTGTTTCTTCTTGTTGTATGTGGTCTTTGTGTTTTATAGTCAATAGCATAGTGATTTTTAAATCACTCTCTGTGTTAGGCTGGATAATAACCCCAAAGATAACCCTAAAGTCTGTGTTTTCTTATATGGAAAAAAAGGGTCTTGCAGATGTGATTAATTTAGGGATATTGAGACGGAGAGGTTATCATGGATTATCTGGATGAACCCTAAATGCAGTCAACAGATACATGAAAAGTGCTCTCTGCCTCACTAATCATTAAAGAAATGCAAATCAAAACCACACCCAGATACTACCTAACTCCAGTCAGGATGGCTATCATCAATAACTCAGAAAACAGCAGATGCTGAAGAGGATACCGGAAAAAGGAACACTTCTACACCGCTGCTGGGAGCGTAAACTAGTACAACCTCTGTGGAAAACAGTGTGGCGATTCCTAAAAGATCTCAAAATTGACCTTCCACATGACCCAACAATCCCCCTTCTGGGAATATACCCGGAGGAACTCAAATCATTCTACAAAAAGGAAATCTGTGCACACATATTTATTGCAGGGCTATCACAATAGCAAAAATATGGAACCAACCATGCTACTCATCAAAAAGTGGACTGTACATTTAAAAAGTGGTACATATACACAATGGAATATTATACAACCATCAAGAAGGGCAAAACTATGAACGTCACAGCAACTTGGATGGATTTAGAGTCTGTAATACTTAGTGATCTATCACAGAAACAAAAAACTGAGTACCACGTGTTCTCACTCATAAGCAGCTGAACAGTTATAATACTACAAGAAAGGGATTGGCAGAAGCAGGACACTGCCAAGGAAGAGGGGGCACACTTCATCAATAAGGGTACCTGATCTCAAACCAGGCAAAGTAGGAACCAAAGTCAGGTCCAAACTTTATGTACAAGGGACCATTTGTATACCTAATCCCGAATTGTACTTCGCATCTTTAAAATAAAAACATAATAATATAGTCTCATAGAGCACTTACTTTGAATTTCAGCTATTAATAAAATGGTATTATCTCTCTCCCTAGTCCATTTACCCAACTCAAGCTTTTTAAGGACGTGGTATATACCAAGATCATGTTTATACACTCTGTGCCTGGCATGTTGCTTTGCATATACAAACATTCAGTAAACATTTGCTGAAATACAGTGTTAAAAACACCAAGTGTACAGAAAGAATAAATATAGCAGGCCCCAGACTGCTATAGAAAGGCCTATGACAACACTGCCTTGGCTGACATCTGAGAACTTGGATTTCAGGAGGGTTCCAATCATTCTCGGTATTGATAAGGGTGGCTTACTGTGTCTAAACTGCTTGTGCAATTAATAATGGCTTATACTGAACATCTGCTTTCCTTCTTGGAATCTCAACTTTTGGTTCACACAAGGTAGAGGGTGCCCTATGACCAGCCTCTAACAAAATCCTGGGCACTGAGTCTCTAATGAGCTACACTTTGGTAGACAACATTTCATTTCTTTTCTTTTCTTTTTTTTTTTTTTTTTAAGAAAGAAGAGTTTATTTAAAAGTAAATTAAAGAAGGCTGAGGTGAGTGGATTGCCTGAGCCCGTGGGTTCCAGACACGCCTGGGCAGCGAGACCTCATCTCTACAATAAATCAAAAAATCAGCCGAGCATGGTAGCGTATGCTTGTAATTCCAGCTCCTTGGAAGGCTGAGGTGGAAGGATCGCCGGAGCCCAGCAGGTCAAGGTTGCGGTGGCTGGGAGCGGCCACTGCACTCCAGTCTGGGCAACAGAGTGAGACTCCAACTCAAAAAAAAAAAAAAAAGTAAATTAAAGAGAGAATGAGAAGGAAGAGAGAAGATTCACCTCCCCAAGGTGGGGGAGGGGGACCAAAGCCAGGAAGCATGGCATCAGCCATGGCTCAAAGAGCACATGGCCATACCAGACTCTAGCAAGGCAATGTCCCAGTAGACAACATTTCACACAAGTCATAACATGTTTACTGAAGGAATTAAGCATGTCCTGTGTGATTTCATTGGGAAAGGACTCTTGGCAACTGCCTCTGGTTTGCTGTGGACTTTGCTCCATGAGACTTTTCCTTTGGTTGATTTGGCTTTGTATCCTTTATTGTAATAAATCTTAGCCATCAGTTGTTTTGTGAGTTCTCCTAGCAAATCACTAAAACTGGAGGTGGTTTTGAGGTCCCTCAACACATGAATTCAAAATGTATTCATCATACATCTGATCACTTCGAACATCATAAGTAAGTTTCAAGAGGAGATTCTATTAATATAATATAGAGCCAGCTACCTGAAAGATAGGTTAAATGACAGAGGTATGTGAACCAATCTGTGGCCTGATTATCATCAAAAGGGTAGACGCTGATAGTGAATAGTTTAAAGCTGTTGTTGTTGTATTCTAACATCATAATTTTCATCTTAAGTAAGTATAAAGAATCAGTCACTAAAGTCTATACATAGTTTACTAAAACAATTCTTCTCTGCAGGAACATATATTCTACAGGAAATACAGATAATGGCATAGCTCCAGTTTGTAGATTTTTCTTAAATTTTTGGACGGTATATATAGAATATTTAAAATAGTTAAAAATATACACCACTGTATATCTGGCACATGGAAGGCACTTACTAAATAAGCAGCAAATGACTGAATACATGATCTTATTCATTCCCTTTGTGTCAACGCTTTGATTTATGCAAAAGATTTTTTTTTTTTTTTTGAGTTGGAGTCTCACTCTGTCCCCCAGACTGGAGTGCCAAGGCATACTCACGGCCACCCTGGTGTTGACCTGCTGTGCTCCAGCGATCCTTCTGCCTCAGCCTTCCAAGTAGCCAGAACTACAGGCATGTGCTACCACGCCCGACTAATTTTTTATTTCTTGTAGAGGTGAGGTCTCTCCAAGTTGCCCGGGCTGGTCTTGAACCCGTGGGCTCAAGTAATCCACTCGCCTCGGCCTCCCAAAGTGCTGGGATTACAGTCTGAACCACCAAGTTCATCCTATGCGTAAGACTTTTAAAACCTGTTGCTACCTCACCCTGTCACCAGAGTTCCAAATATACCTTTTTAAACAAATTGCTTGACATTTACATGTGATTCTCACCCTACATCTAAAATTTATTATGCTGAAAATTCAACTCATCCCTACCATTTTCTTTGCATAAAACGATGCTAATATCTCAAACACAGCATATATTACAGTACACTTTATTGTTATTTTCCTACTGGAGTTTTAAGTTACTTGAGGTCATGAATTATGCCATGCTCATCTTTGTATTCCTTCCAACACATTAGCTCAGAGTCTTAAATAAGCCAGCTACTGAAAATGTTAGGGCACTGCTTCCAAGAATTCAAAGCCAACTAAATTATCACTTACCTTCCAGCCCCAGGCTCTGTCATTGCGATGGCACCAATACACTTGCCTGCAGTCATCTGGGGGATGAAGCGCTTAATCTGTTCTTCCGAGCCGTAGTTTGCAATATAGGGCATAACAATATCTGAATGAAGACTAAAACCTGGGCCTGTACAATTTGAATATGCTCTTAAAAAGAAAAAAAAAAGGGAGAAAACATAAAGTACAACATAGCTATTTTGTTCTGTTTTTAGTTTCTTCGATTTCCAATTTAAAAATGACTAATAAAGTAACAAAGTATTCAAGGTCTCACTACATTGTGGGCTAATAGCCTCCTTACAAAGCTATCACATTGCTGAACTTTTTCTCTCTGTATTTTTACTCATCTTTTAATTTCTGGCTCTAACACGGTAATAGTGTTCTATCAGAGTTCAATGAACATTTATTTAATTAAAAGAGAAAATATTTTAAAACTTTAATCACTACAGTTGTATTCCTCTAACACAGCAACTATTTTGATTATGGCAAATTACCCTTGCCATAAGGATATATTCTAATATACACCCAATCATGGTGTGAATTTTGTACTTTGTTGTTTTCTTCTTCATTATGTGATATAACAAAGTCTTCTTTTTCTTTAGTTTTTAATCAAAATCTTAAATAGCTGCAAAACATTCCAAACTGTTTATGTACCATAATTTACTTATTCATCTCCCACCGCTGGACATTTAGATTGCTTCAAAATTTGGGAATTATGATCTAACATGAAAATAATTTCTGAACACACCTTCTATTTTTCTTATTAAATTATTTTCTTAAGATAAATTCTCCAAAATGACATTCTAGGTCAAAGAGCAGGAACATATTCATATATATCTATACCTATCTATCTATCTATTTATCTGTCTATCCATCTATTTTCACCTTTTAAAAATCCCCAAAATGTTTATTGCTCTAATTTATAGTGTATGAGTGTATCACTTTCACTATAATCTTGTCAGTACTGGGTATTAAGATTTCTAATTTTCATCAGTTTTGTAGATACTCAAAATAATACTTCCTGATCAATTTAACTTGCATTTGATTGGGAGTAAGAATAAACTTTCCTTATTTAAAAAAATTTACTTGCATTTCTTTTTTGAACATTCTTTTCTTCACATCTTTTGCCCATTTTCAACTGAAATCTTTGTTTTTATACATTACGCTTCTAGTATATTTAATGCAAATATTTTCCTACTCTGCTGTTCTCTTTCAAATGTAATTTTAACGGGGGAAAATAACTGTAAGCGTCAACAAGAAATGAAACTATCTCTTTAATTTTCAACAGCTCCTCTCTCAATGACTTAAAGGGGGATTTTCTTATCTTCCCACATTCAAACAATGTGCAAGGGGATATGAGTGGTATAACTTTTAAATTTTGCACTGAATTTTAAATTCTCCAAGATTAGAAAGCATTTTTATCATCCAAGAAAGGTGAACTGTGTGCTTACAAGACTCAACTTCCAATGTCTCCATACTTACTGCTCCTCCCACACAACTGCTGAGGAGTACAAATCCCCGCCGATACCACCGTGATGCTCTGCAATATTGACACCGAGCAGACCTTGTTTTCCAGCTTTTTCCCAAAGCTCCCTACTCACTTCTCCAGCTTTCTCCCATCTGCAAAGAACATATTTTTCAAAATCAGAGAAACTTTTCTCATATTATTTAAGTGGCCATAACTTTGAATTTCTGAGTGTTTTTGTGCGGAAATGTACTCTTAAGGCAATTGTTGACATTGGTCATGCACTTCTACTTGCATCTGACTCTTGTATCATTTCTTCTCCTTTTTCTCTTCTTTTCTTCTTTATATTTGTCACTTCCTTCCTCCCATTCTATTTTTGGGACTTGAACATTATGCCCACTGATATGCATTGATGTAGTTCTGCTCAGTTGGTGCTTTCCCAGTGCAAGCTTAGTTGTGCCATGTGGTCATGGGAATTTGCCCAAACTGTCTTGTAAAGGCAGTTCTCATTGGCACATTTTCTTAAAGTGCTGAACAAGTATATCAAAACTGACAAAGTTAGCAATCTTATTCCTGTTTACCCAGGAAAAGTGGAAGAACAGAAGTACCTTGCAGCACTGCTCTCTCAAATGAGTTTTCTGAAAATGTTAGACACTGAATAAGACTGTGCAACCTCAGTTTTTCTTTTTTAAAAGTAAGAATGGTATGATGCAGAAATAGACAGTTAATTGGAGATAGTGGGAAAAAATCTGAGAATTTTTGTCCATTTAAGTGGTAGATATAGTTAGTAAGATATGAGGTATTTGACTGACGGTAAATACAGACACCACAACATTTTTTTTTTAAAAAAAAGAGTTTGGTTATTATGTGTTTGATGTAGTTATTACCTAAAGTAGCTTTGAGAATATTTTATTATTAAAAATATTTTATTAGTGATCCAAAAGTTATCAACTTCTATATTTTAATTTCAGGAGCTTCATAACATTTTTCTTCTGGAACAAAATATAAAAGCAATGAAGAAACAAAAAAGATTCTCCTAAAGCAAGGTATACTACGTCTCTCTTGTATTTATTTATCTAAGTTTTAAAACAAAGTTTCTTAGAGAAAGAAGAAAAAGTTTCTTTGAGGAAAGAAAGGGCCAGTAAAAGTTTCATACCAGAAAGGTCTGGCATGGGCAAGCCTCTCTAAAAAGCAAGACGCCTCTTGTCTTTAAGAAGCTAGTTGCTTTTCATCAAAGACTAGTCAAGGCTTCTGAGTGCAGCTAATTTTGGTCAACCTTACCAAGAAAGTATTAGAAAAACCTAACGAAAGCTGTTTTAAAATAATATTTTAAAACCATTCTAAATGTTGTAAAGTACAGATATTCCCTGGTTTCAACTTACAACTATCTGATGGTTTAACTTACAACTATCAGACACAGATGGTGTGAAAGTGATATGCATTCAGCAGAAATCATACTTTGAGGACCTATACAACCATTTTTTTTTCACTTTCAGTACAGTACTTAATAAAGTATATGAGCTAGTCAATACTTTATTATAAAACAGGCTTCATTTTAGATGATTTTGCCTAACCGTAGGCTATTGTAAGTGTTGAGCATGTTTAAGGTAGGCTGGGCAGAGCTATATGTTTGGTAGGGTAGATGTATAAAACCTCACAAACCTATGACATTCCTGAACATTTTCTCTCTTGTTTTTACTTATCTTTTGCTTTCTGGCTTTTACATAATAACAGCACTGAGAAGTTTTGTGTGTTTTTGTGTAAATAACAGTGTTAACATAATTACAATGCATTTTAACTTATGATATTTTCAACTTACAATGGATTTATCAAGATGCAACCCCATCCTAAGTTGAGGAGCAGTTGTATGGACATTCAAGTGAATTTGGACACAGAAAAACATCTTATTTTAATAGAAATAATAAGTTTATGGTCAGTGCAGTAATCAGCAATTAGTTAATCAAGAAACACCCAGCAGTAAAAATCCTTAGTGGAAGCCAATTTCCTACCAAGATCTGTATTATGCTGGCCTTTTGAGCTTTCACATATTTTAATAAATTCATGAAGCAGAAAAAAAAAAGACTATGAAACTGACTAGTGTTTTGTTACCACTTCTCCATGTTTTTCAAATTGTTTCAAATTATCAGATTTTCTTCTTTTTGCGCTATACACTTTAAAATCCATTCCAGGAGCTCCTGGGCTCTAACAGTGTTACGGTGAAAAACAGCAAAAAGGTTAATAAAGCACTGAGCATAGTATTTTTTTTTTCTGTTCCACAATACACAGCATCCTAGGAAATGGTCCTATCGCACTCCTTTCTGTGCATCGCATTAAAGGAAAATGGGTCACTTACTCTGAGTGATGAGGAATCACTTCTTCTTGAAAAAACTTCCTGACACTTTCCCGGAAAATGTCATGCTCTGAAGAAAAGATTCTTCTAGTTCCTACATCTGTTAATTTTTTAGCAGAAGCTGTTTCTAGACGTTCTGTCCCTCCAGAATGGGAACATCTTTAAAGATACATATGTAACAAGAAAATTAAGTGATGATTACTCTTCATAGCCAACCTAATGCTACCGAACAGCACGGAACCCCAATTTCTTTCCCAGAAGCACTTTAGAGGCAAGTAAAAAGAGTTTGAAATATAACAAACCTGGGTTCAAATTTAAGCGTCACCACTTTCGACAGGATCTACCTCACCGAACTAGGATTAAGAGGTAGTTTATCATTATTATTCAACCCAGTCTCTAGTTCCAAATCCATACAGAGAACAATGCCTAGAACTCACCACAGGTCTGAGTTGAGTTGACATACCATGTTGTTACACACTATGCTGTCACATGGGACATGTGGATTAAAGGCAAAAATTCAGATAGTACTATGGAATAATACGATAATTTTTCATGTCATGTACAATGTCTACAATAATGCAAACCTTCCATAATTAGTATTTTATCCAGAATCCCAATTTCAAATGGCAGGTGTATAAGATGTAAACTGTGTTGATGTCATTGCCACATTACAGAGCCAATCTGGGTGTAAATCAAAATGCTCACCAATTTTTATAAGGCTTCATATGGAATTATTCAAGACCCATGCTCATTACACCCCTCCAACATGCATACCAAGCTTAAAATAAGACTGTTCACTGGGCCTGGTGGTTCAGCCTGTAATTCCACGCCTTTGGGAGGCTGAGGTGAGTGGATTGCCTGAGCCCGGGGTTCAAGACCCGCCTGGGCAACTTGGTGAGACCTCATCTCTAAAATAAATCAAAAATTAGCCGGGCGTGGTAGCGCACACCTGTAGTTCCAGCTACTTGGAAGGCTGAGGCGGAAGGATCGCCAGAGCCCAGCAGGTCGAGGTTGCGGTGGCCGGGAGCGGCCACTGCACTCCAGTCTGGGTAACAGAGTGAGACTACAACTCAAAAAAAAAAAAAAAAAAGACTGTTCTATAGTTGTTAGGTCTTCAGCTTTTTTTTCCTTCTGAGGTACCCATGAAAGAAATTTTGAAAATCTATGCAACACTTTGTATATTTTCAAGCTCACATCTAAAAACTGTCTTATCATACATCCAAATATTGTCAAAAGATTTTTATTTTTGTTTTGCATCACATTCTGATGTAGGTTTCTCTCTTCCTTAGTTGGATTGGTTTCTTTTTTCTAGTATTTATCTAGAAAAGACCTATTTACTGTAACTAACCAAAGTAGACTTAAAGGGTTTGTTTTCAGTTTTTAAGTAAACATCACAACATATTCGTAAAGTCTTATTAATTATCATTTGTATGTGTTTCTCCATCCACTTTCTCCATAGACTGACTGACTAGTTGCCACATTTAGAGCTGTGGTGCTCTGGTTTTCTTCCTGGGCATGCATGTGCTTTCTGGAGTTGGCCAGTCCTCAGTGGAAACATCTGTTAGACACTTGGTGCTTGTTGCCACCAGAGTTGTCAAGCCAGGAGACTTGTAGGACTCTTCATGGGCTCCTGGGGTTACCACATCTTTCTCTGCACCTTGGGGCAAAGTGTTCTCGTCCCCACCTGGGGTCACAGGGTCATCTTCTGGCCCGACTGTGCTGGTTCTCTGTGCCAGGACCCAGAGCAATGCGCTTCCCATGACTCCGAGTGGAACTGGCGTCTTCCACATCTTCCTGGCGGACAGGCCCGGCCCAGAGGAGTGTGAGGTGGGCACTCCAGTGCAGGAGAAGCCCCGGCGAGAGGGAGCCCGGCCTTCCTGTGCCCAGGGCAGCCCAGCCGGAGAGCAAACCTGGTGGCTGCCGATTACTATTTTTAAAGGTTACAGTTAATCTGGGTAACGTACCATTATTACTGAATCAGTCTTGTTTGTTGACATGTAGATGGTTTCAACCTTTTTGTCCCCCTGACATGGATTATTTTATTTAGTTTATTAGTTTGGTTTATGTATCTTTGTTTAATGCTAATGACCAAACTGTGTTCCTTCAAAATTCATAGGATGAAGGCCCAACCCTCAGGGTGATTGGATTTGGAGGTAGGGTTTTTGGCAAAATGAGGTCAAAAGGGTGGGGTCTTAATCTGATAAAATTGGTGACCTTCTAAGAAGAGGAAGTCAGTCTCCTCCTTCTGTCAATCTCTCTCTCTTCCCCACTCCATCCAAATCATAAACACAGTAAAGAAACAAATCATATAGCTTAGAAGGTGATAAGTTCTATGGAAAAAGAAGAGTGGAGAAGGGATCAGGGGTGTGTGTCCGGGACTAGGCAGGAACAGCAGCTGCACTATGAAACAGTGCAGTCAGGGTAGGTGAAACTCGAAAGGTGAGGTCTGAGCCAACCATTGAAGGTGACAGTTTGCCAAGCATGTTTCTATTAAAAAAAAAATTCAGAGCAAAAGAATAACTAGAGCAAAGGCTGTAGGTCTAGATGGTGTCTGATGTGTTCTGAAGAAAGGGCAAACAAGCCCAGTTGCACAGACTGAGTAAGGGCAAGAGAAGGAGATGAGGTCAAAGGGAACAGGGGACCAGGACATGCAGGAGGCCTTGCAGATCACTGCCCTGTGGCAGCACATAAACTGAAATTGACTTGATCCCTTATCATTGAAACGACTGGCTCTGATTTCTTGCTCGTAGTCTAAAACTATAAAGCACATATCTGTCCAAATAGATTTTCCCTACTTGAGATTTCTTCCTCAGAGGAAAAAAAAATATGCTGAGACTGGGGAACTAGGACTGTAAGACACTGAATCATTTGCCAACATAATAAGTGAATGTTAGCGCCAGAATTTATACTCAAGTAGGCCCGGATCTTAAAATGTTGCGTTAAAGAACGCTTTGGACTATTTCTAAGTAAAATACACTAAGACACAGGAAAGCAAAAAAAAAAGGGAAAAGAATAAACACTTCCAGGTCAGCCAAAGGTGGTCAAGAGAATATATAATATATAGAGGGAAGAAAATCAACACCTGCTAGCAAGTTTGTTGGAACTTGTATGTTTTAGTCTGAATACAAAGAAACCTGTACTGAAAAAAAGCAGCCTCCCCCCCCCAGCTGCTACTAATCTTACCAGTTAGACTGTAAGTTTTTTTAAAGCCCCATTTAACATTTTAAAACACCGGCAATTCCTCAACATCTGGGAGCTGGTTATAAATACACAGTGTCAGGCCTCAACCCAGACCTACTGAATCAGAATCCATACTTTAACAAGATCCCCAAGTAACTCATAAACACGTTAAAGTTTAAGAAGCTGGTTACAATAAAACTGTAGTCATTGGCACATTCAGAAGGTCCTTCTTGTCTCTCCCTTTCCAATATTCTCTGTGAGGGGAGATTTTCTTCCCATACTTCAACTAAAGTAACTTACTGCAATAGACAGCACAGAAGCAGATTAAGAGAATCTGGCTGTTTTCTATTAAGCCAGACATTAAGGGATTTGCAAAAATGTAAAACAAGGTCAAGTACTTTTTATCTGTTTGTTCAGGAAAATGTATTTTTCATTTAAAATGATATTTGTGTTAACATGTACTGAGCTTATTATTGTTATTTTAAAATGAACTAAATATTTGTAAGGTTTCTCAGTTTTGTAGATACATATTGATATTTATGTGGATAGATATAACCTACGTAAGCAAAAGATCTTTGGGGCCCTCTAATTTTAAGAGCGTAAAGGAGTCCTATTACCAAAAAGTTTGAGGGTCACTGTCTTAGGACGTTCCAGGCAAGAGTTTAGAAAAGTACAGTACGTGTATCCTAAAGAAAATCACCTTCTCCGTGAGGCCTTCCCAAACCTCCCCAAGAAGAAAAAGCATTTTTCTCTCCCAGCTTTCACTGCATCTCAGAATACTTTACAACGATGTTGCAACTGGCGAATTTTCCGGCCCTTTCACCTTTGTTAAATAATGAATCCTCCGCGCTTCTAATTTGCTACCCAGTGAATGAACTGTATGCGTCACGCAGTCTCTGCAACTTCGGATCTTGCTGCAAACACCGCCTTCCTAGTCGCTGAGCCACTCGGGTTCTCTTCACGCCTCCTCCGCCCTGAGTTCAAGGACGCGTCCATACCTCGGACGCGCACGCCCTGACCCCACGGAACCCTCGCCGGGTCGTTTCCAGCCTGGGTTATTTGGTTTGAGACACTCCGGGTCTGCGCCCTGCAGGCCGCGGCGAGTCTGGCCCCCACGTTCACCTCGCGCGGCGGCGGTCCCCTGGCGCTGTTCCAACCGGACCCAAGGTCGCAGCCCCAGTTCTTGCAGACGCGCCCCGGGGGTGATCCCCGCCCCCACCCCCGCCCCCACCCCCACGCCGCCCCGCCCCGCGGAGGAAAGTTTCAGAACGCAGGCTGCCGGGTCCCCCGGCGG